CTCTCTCTCTCTCTCTGTGTCTCTCTCTCTCTGTGTCTCTCTCTCTCTGTCTCTCTCTCACACACACACACACACATGTGTTGGTGTTCTGCATCTGATGCGGGAGACTGCCTTTAACTCTTTCTTCTTGGTGATGCCGAAATTATTAAGGAAAAAGAGGAGGGAGTTTTCAATGACTTAGTGGTATAATATTGTGTTAGGATTTCGAATTTCGCGGAATGATATTTTGCTCATGGTACTGAGCTCGCGTGCTTTCAGGGCGCTGCTTCAGTTTGTAACCTCTGTGCTTTATACTAAGTTTATAGGTTTACTCAGTCCCTCAGTTTTTGTTTCGAACGGAATCTTATTTGTTGTCACGGTCAAAGACTTACCTACCTCTCGTTTTTCCGCTCTACCTTTTCTGTGCCCCCTTTTTGTGGACCATTTCTTGGTTTGCGCATGTCATCCTGTTAATCTTCTTTGCGTTCTCCCTTGCATCGTCCAGGACCTCGCTTTCCCAATTCGCTCACTTGCTGAAAATCCCTCTCCTCGTCCAGACCCAATCCCCACCCTCCTGCCCATCTCCGCCGACCCCGCCAACCCCCCCTCCGCCCGGAGGAAAGTTCAAAAGTAAATCCCTTTCTGGAGTCGTCTATCCCTTGTGCTACCCCGTAAGAGTTTGTCACCATGGTTGATGGCTCGTTCACATTGCTGGTTTTTTTCTGATCTCGTTTCTGCCTGTTTCATTTGTCGGGCTCCTGTTTTGCAATATTTCCCCCATCTCATTCCTTTCGTTTTTCCTCCTTGTCGCTTGAAAAGACCCATTCACCCATCCTTATGGATGCACTTTCAGATCGCCACGCACATCAACCTCTAGAGATACGGCGAATCAAGGCAACCAGGACTGTCCCACTGCGGCTGTCTCCAAGCTGCCGGAGTGCTGTTTGATCCTGACCGTTGATCTCGCTGATTTTCGGGTCATTGCCGAAGAATCGTCGCAAGCGGGATAGCGGCTTCGGTAGCATTCCTTTCCATTTCAGAAGAGAGGAAAGCACCTGAGTTGTGGAGATGACAGGTGACGCATCGGGCGATGGCTCGTGCGGAAAGTCTCTCTCGCAATCTAGGTGACGCATCGGACCGGAGTTGTAGGGATCTCCCAGTGGGCGCTTTCCACCAATTATCCCCTAAAGTTTGTGTACATGCTGCCGATCGTAGACGGCACGCTAAGAATAGCGTGACGTCGCCCCTGGTTGGGATTGCAACTCTCAAGCGCTCCGGGAAAGCATGAATTGTGCACACAGACGGCTGAGAATGCGAAATCCAACAAGTCAGGAGCTTGAGAAACGGCAGCGACATCCCACAGCTGGCGGGATCGACAAGTTCTCGAGCGGTGGTCGTTCAGATCCGTCTGGTCTGAAATCTCGTGGCCATACTTTGGCCGCTTCAACAAATGCTCGATAACTATGTGATCACGCTCCTAGTGCGTGGGACTCGGTTCCAGGTGATCACGAACCGAAAGGATTGCTCTTGAATGCACAAACGATGCTCCCGCATCAACCTACACACACAACGACAAATCCAAATTAAGGTAACGTTTATTATCACGGCTAGATTTTTCACGAGTGCGCTGACAATACAGCTTGACTGCGTCTGCCCTCTCCCAGCATGCAGATCCCAACCATGCATCCTGTAATTCCTGCGTTGGCATCACAGAGTTCAGCACAAGGTTCGAACCTGCCTTATCTTTCTGCTTTCTTTGCTCTTCTAATTCCTCTTTCTTCCCGCTTCCTTTTTCCTCCTCCACTATCGCTCCCCTGCCCCTTATCTCTTCGTCTTTTTCGTCGTCCCTCCCATTCCTCACTCATCCTCCCCTCTTCCCTATTCCCGCCGCTTGTAGTCTCTCATCCCTGACATGCTTTCCGAGAATCGGTTCCTCGTCCTTTCCTCACTCCCATACCCTGTGGAATTGCTCTCGGTTCGTATTTTTTCTCGTAAAGTACAGAATGGAGTGCCGGGACTTAATTATATGGTCCTTGGATTTCGTTATCTTATGGCTTCGAGTTCTCAGAATCTTTGTGGAAGTTTCCTATGGTGGGTTGCTAAATGCCAACCTGATGATGCTTGGAGACGCGGTAGGAATGCTGGACGGGATCAGCCGTATTGGTGTTCTGTTCTCTGTCTGTGCGAATTCCCAGTGCTAGAAGATCCTGCGACTCTGCAGTTGCTATGCTCTAGCACTCGACAATTAGCCGCCAAACGCCAAAACTACCTTAGGTTATTATGCACTCCCAGCAGTTACAGATAAAAACAAAACAAAAAAATACAATGGAGGACAAAGGGACGGAGGGTTCGGTTGGCGAGGAGGAGAAGACAACGAGGACGCAAGCCTCTGATATAAAGGGCATGGCAGTGGGGTATGTACTACCCAGAGCCTGTGAAACCGTATAAGCGCGCGCTTAAGCGCGCTTTAAAGTACCCTGCGCCGCGCTCAAAAGCGCTCAAAGCGCTTTAAGGCCCGCGCGGGCGTCGAAATATCAGCGCAGGGGCGTCACGGGGTTGCGGGAGGGGAGGGGATGCCACGGGGACGTTTCCGCACAAAAAAAAAACAAAAAAAAAACATACCCTCCCGGACCGTTTTGGAGTCCAGCCCCTCCGGAGTTCACACTGCAGTCCAAATTCCTCGGTCGACTGCCTGTCGTAAGGCAGAGTTTGTAACTGCCGTCTAGTCATTGACGTCCGACGGGCAGGCACAGAAGAATAAAGAAAAAAAAAAGAAAAGTTCGTGGCGCCGTATCTTTCCATGTTCCAGGGGAAGATTCACTCTGTTTCCACGATTGATTTGGAACTCTGGAGAACGAGAGTGAATCTGCATTAGAGCTTGGAAAGATACAGCGCCATGATTTCTGTCTTTTGTGCAACGGGGAAACAGGGACCCAACAAGATACACGGGCTGACAACAACGCAGTGGCCCTAAGGGGATATGAGACAGGGATTGAATACTGTGTTTGAGTTGGGTTTAAGTAGACAGTGGTTTAGTATGGTAGTGATAGCCGGGAGTTTGAACCAGGAACCTTGTACCTCGGATGAGTGGACAGGGACCGAGTGGGTTTGTTTTCTGGCCGGTTTCTTAGTAGGAAGTTAAGCACGGAAATGATAGCCTGGGGATTTGAACCAAGGACCTCTTTGTGGATGTACAGTAGAGGGTTCGTACCTCAGACGAGGGCCAGACAGCCAGGAGACTTGAACGGGGTACCCCTGTAGTAGTCTTTTTTGTAGTTTTGGGGTTTCACTAGTCACTGAAGAGGGTATAGGATTGAAGACTGTATTGACACCAGTAGTACAATTGGTATTGCCTGTTCTGTTTGTTTGTTTGTTTGGTCTGGGTTCGTATTTGGAGATTGGCCTCAGGTCGGCCGAGAGTACAGCCCAGTCGAGCGGGACGAGTCATGTATACGGACTATATTAGGCCTGATTGCGTGAATTCGGGTCTTTCTGGGTCCGACGCATACGGCCACTGGTCATTTCCGGAGATGGTCAGACTGGTCAATGGCGGAGGTGGGATAGTGGAAGGAAGGATGAGTAAGGGCGTTGTGAGGTGGAAACCCCCTGAGGATGACCGCGTGGCTGCGGTCGAAACCAGTCGGGGAGCCATATCCCAACCGGCATGCAATCAGCTGTACATGTGTGCTTATGTACCCTGTACATGGAGATACATGAGTTTTTTGATACTGTGTCTATGATACCGTGTTGATTTGCTTGTGTGTCTTTTCATCTCATCAGTAATCTGCTGATGGCCCGTGTGAACCCGCTTGGAAGACCCTGAGTGAGTGTGAGCATGTTGAGAATCGGTGACTTTCTAAGTTCTACGTTGAATGAAGTTTCGATGAAGTTTTGTGTTGGGAGAACACAGGCGAGGTCTGCAAAGTATTGACGGACATCGTTGACTATTAGTATGCGGATGATACGGGAGGATTCTGCGGAACATTGGACCGACGCAGACGTAAGTGGTTCTGATAACGAGAGTTCTCCCGGATATTGCCGACTGGTTGTTGAGGTGTAGCGGAGAAGGCGACTGTGTTTCACTTACTAGCTGCCCGTTTTCTTTGACTGGAAGTATGCTATCCAACTGGGATTGTGGTGCCGCCTCATCGCAATACTAGCACGTTTATCGTGGATAAGAGTGCGCCGAAGTTGTCGGGAGTTCGACAGCCAGTTGAGGTGCGGTTAGTTGGGTAGGATCGCTGACTATTGGTTGGACCGTGTGCGATATGGGTTCGAACTATCGAGATTATGGACGAGAAGACTGTCGGGATCGGGGTAGTGATCGAGGACGGTATTGGGAAGGTAGCGATGGAGGCCGAGACCAGCAGCAGGGGAGAGAGGGACGCAGGGAGCGCTCCATGGAACGGGGTAGTTCAAGCTACACGAGACAAAGAGAGGCCCCACATCGATTCACCCCTGTGTGTTACGAGTGCGGGGAGCCTGGTCATTACAGGAATCAATGTCCGAAGCTGGGAAGAGACGGGGGCTCAAGGTACGTCGGTCAATGCGGGAGGTCGTTATCTCCAAAGACACAAACACGTTATCAAGAGCCGAGAGCTGCCTCTGAGAATCCAGTTGTTAAACGTCAAATTGAGGAACTGGCGTTGTCTATGGCAGCCATGAAAGTGGTCATTGACGCTGAGAAAGCTAAGGCGGCGGAGGAGGAAGCGAAAGATGGAGAAACTCGAAATAAAAAAGAGGAAAAGAGGAAAAGAAGAAGCGAAAGATGGAGAAGCTCGAAATGAAAAAGAGGGAGGAGGAGGAAGCTAAGGCGGCGGAGGAGAAACGGTTAGCAGAACAAAGGCGGATTGCAAGAAAGGAAGAAAAATTGAAGAAAGAGGAGGATGATCGGCAACTGCTGAAGAAGGAGATGCTTATGGAAATCTCTCTCCGAATGGGGCAACTCGATGAGTCGCTTCAGCGCGGGTACGAAAGGGACATGAGGGAGCGAATTAAAGGAAAACAGAAGGTTGTCGTTTCGTCTTCTGACGATGAAGAGGCTGGATCTTACGAGAGCGATGTGGAGTCTCTCAGCCGTAAGACGGAGCAGCTTGTTATTTCGGAGAAGAGAAAGAGAAGCAGGGAGAAACCTGTGGGTGATAGTCCACCTATGGAAACGCCCGCCAAGCGGACGCCCAAGCGACGTCTTCAGTTGGGATGCCGTCACCCACCGATCATGAAGACTCCTTCAAGGAAGACCCCTCGGAAGACTCCTGTGCGGAGGAAGGGAAAGATCGCGGCGGTTCCGGGGACAATGGGTAAGCTGAGATACGTTACGGATAACATGAGGGAATTGGGGAATTTGACGGTGGGGAATTGGAGAAAATTTGTATGGCAGAAGATGTTGAATATGAAGGGAGGAAAATGCAAGTTATTCTCGCTATTACCGAGAAACGTACAAAAATTGCCTACGGGGCCGAAGAGACGAAGGGTCCGGAGAAGGTAATTGGGGAGAATTTAGGGGATAAGGACGGTGAGGAAGATGACGTGGATGCCAAAAGCGATGTATGAACAGCTCGCAAACTCTGGGTTCTTTGTGGTTGCGTTATTAAGTTCCGACGAGAAAACATCTACGATGATACCGTTGAGTTGTTGTATAGGCTAGTAGTTATTTCTCTAGCTCTGCGTGATCAAATCCGTTGGATGCAGAAATGTATCATACCCTGGGTGGCGCTGTATAAACAGTATGGGATTGGCTGTTTCATGACGGATAGTATGTGCGTGTATGTTCTTAACTCTCTAGTGTGTCGTGCTCAATACGTAGGTCAGACTGGTAGGGATGGGAAGACAAGATGGAGAGAGCATGTCTTCGTATGTAACCGAGGTCGGAAACAAAACCATTTGTAAGGTGGAGTCCGACTCTGAATTCCACGGGGAGGACAAAGGTGAGGCAAGGGGGTGGGTGAAGGAGGAAAGGGAAGCACGAGAGGAGTAAGATGTCAGCGCAGGAGGGTGCCACTCGTAATTCAGATTTGGTATTACCAGTTAGAGCTAAGACGAACTACATGGATGATTGGAGCGTGAATTGCTTTCAAGTCCTGGCAGCGCAGGAGACGGTGGGAAATCGAAGGTTTGCCTTACACTTCAGGGAAGGAAGTTGTTGGTGTGGTGGATGGAAGTTGATAAGATCTAGTTTTGGTAAGTCTGATGTAAAAGTTAACGGCCAACGGTATAAGTTGTACATGTGTAAGCAGATGATGGAGAAGGGCACCGAGATTGAGGTTCTCCAGCTGAGAAGGTGGAAACCGAAGATTAATAAGGATAAGGAGTTTCTTATCTCGATCTTACGGAATAAGAACGGGGCAGAAACTCAGCGACAATCTAATCTCGAAGTTCTGATTAGGCTGACGGGTGCAGCCAAGGATTTTCAGAAGGTTGCTACGACAGCTTACCTAGGGAGGTTAATTGGGAGAGTTGTAAAAGACACCCATGGATAGGTTTTGAATTCCAAAGTTACAGTGAAGTTGAGATTTGACGATAGGATCCGGTTGGTTGAAGTTAGGAAGCTTGTGAATGACAAACTTGAGGGGATGGAGATTCCCGCTTGTCTGAAGAAGCACGCGCACAAAGGGGTGTGCATCGTATGGGTGAGGAACCCGTCTGTTGCGAACCTTATTCACAATCAGCGAGGGTATTCCCGAGCTCAAGTGTGGACCTGCTCATGCGCAGGTTTTCCCTATCCTCGGATAGGTGGTCACGTGCGTTTTCGACTACACGAGCTGGAGGATATCCACCCTCTTCTTTGTAACTCTAACAACGTTCCGAAATTTTCGCAACTGGATCGGGGTATTTTGTTAAAGCAGGAGATTACGGCTGGTTTGGAAGGATGGGTCAATTGGAGAGGACCGATACCAGTGATTGAGAGAAGGGATGTGGAGACTTGTTTGACTGGTGAACCGGACGTTAATACTAAGTTCTTGGACATGCGGGAAGTACACTGCCTGAAGGTAAGACTGGATGGGTTGGTGATCACGCCGTTGGACCGGAACCCAGGTGATACCCTGGTGCTGTGCCCAAAGCTGTACTTCGAGGCCATGCTGGAACTGTTTATATCAAGCACTGGATATGTGGTGTCTGATAAACAAGAGGAGGTAGTTATGAATGCAATAAGAGAGGAGTTGTCTGAAGCGGGACTGATGAAGTTGGCACAGTGGGATAAGAAGGGAAAGATTGGTGAGGCCTATGCTATACCAAAGCACAAGGACCTCGCACGCTTTCACCCGATCTGTCCTACCTATCTGGAGCCTACAATCAGAGGTTGCAGGATTGTAGCCAAGGTACTCAATCACTTGTTATATAATCTTCCGCGGGACTGACACTCTGATCTTAAGTCCGTGGCCTCACTGGTCCCGATGTTGGATTCGATCAACAAAAAGATCGGAAGAAGAATGGGTATTAATTATGTGGTGTCTGCGATGTCCTACGACATAAAGACATGTTCAGTAAATTACCCCATGACGTGATCGTCGAAGCAGTGGATTGGACTGTGGATTATCATCTTGATAAGGGCCGCAACCAGCTGCGAGTTAATTCAAGAGGAAAGGGGTGTACATTTGGGAGAACTGCAGGCGATGATCATTAGCGTACTGTGGATCTGCAGCAAATTAAAGACTTTGTCCGAGTGGAACTGAGGCACACCTACACCAGAGCCACTGGTGTCTTGTTGCGACAAGTAGTTGAGATCCCTATGGGGAAGAGTACAAGCCCTCCTCTGGCCTGTATTCTGTGTGCTTATTCCGAATTCAAGTTTTTGAAGGCGTTGGGTAGGACGGCAAGGGATGTGTTCGACATATGTCTGATGGACGACGTGAGCTTGATAGTTCTTGAATGAAGGGACAGCCAGATGATAGCGGAAGATATCAAAATGCGGTTTGAGAAGTGTTATCCGAAGGATTTGCAATTGAAGAGGACCGATAATGGGCTGGGTTTCAGGGATTTCCTGGGTACAAGGATGAGCGTCAATCATCTCCAACCGGTAGTGACCTGTTTTCAGACGGTGAAGAACGAGTCTACTATTTGGCGCTCGGGGGCCCTGGAATTCAGGAACGGTCAGTCCTATAGATCCTTGGGTTGCAAGCAGCAAAAAAGTGTTGTTGTCGCTAGCCAACTGCATAGGATTGACCGGAACACGAATTTGCGATCACGTATCCCGGGACAAGTTCTGAGTTTGGTTCGAGAATTGAGGTTGAAAGACTTTCCGACTCGGTCGGTGGAAATAGTTGTGAAGCGTTTTGCGAAGGGACGAAATTCGATCTGGAGCTGGACTGTGAACTGGTTGTATCCAAAATAATTCCAAGTCCACAGATAACTGTAATGTCAGGAACAAGCAATGAAGCATTGCGGTCCTGATGAGGACAGGCTGATAGTATGTACGCCTTGGTGATCGGAGTTCCGCATCCTTTTTCGAGATTTAGTTGTATTTTGCAGAAGGAAGGTGATAAGGCTAGCTGACCATGATTGGGTTTTGTCGAATATAGAGATTTAGGGGTGAGTACTGTGGCTGTGTTTGATATGAAGGTTTTGAAAATATGTATTTGTTCTATTTAGACAGGGATTGAACATTGTGTTTGGGTTGGGTCTAAGCAGACAGTGATGTCCAGCATGGTAGTGATAGCCAGGGAAAACTGAAAATATGTACTTGGTATATGCAGACAGGGATTGAACACTGTGTTTGGGTTGGGTTTAAGTAGACAGTGGTTTAGTATGGTAGTGATAGCCGGGAGATTTGAACCAGGAACCTTGTACCTCGGATGAGTGGACAAAGACCGAACGGTGCTGCGGCTATTTTGGGTTTGTTTTTTGGCCGGTTTCTTAGTAGGAAGTTTAGCACGGAAATGATAGCCTGGGGATTTGAACTTGGGACATATTTGTGGATGTGCAGTAGAGGGTTCGTACCTCAGACGAGGGCCAGACAGCCAGGAGACTTGAACGGGGTAACCCTTTAGTATTATTTTTTGTAGTTTTGGGGTTTCGCTAGTCACTGAAGAGGGTATAGGATTAAAGACTGTATTGACACCAGTAGTACAATTAGTATTGCCTGTTCTGTTTGTTTGTTTGTTTCGTCAGGGTTTGTATTTGGAGACTGGCCTCTGGTCGGCCGAGAGTACAGCCCAGTCGAGCGGGACGAGTCGTGTATACGGACTATATTAGGCTTGATTGCGTGAATTCGGGTCTTTCCGGGTCCGACGCATACGGCCACTGGTCATTTCCGGAGATGGTCAGACTGGTCAATGGCGGAGGTGGGATAGTGGAAGGAAGGATGAGTAAAGGGCGTTCTGAGGTGGAACCCCCCTGAGGATGACCGCGTGGCTGCGGTCGAAACCGGTCGGGGAGCCATATCCCAACCGGCATGCAATCAGCTGTACATGTGTGCTTATGTACCCTGTACATGGAGATACATGAGTTTTTTAATACTATGTCTATGATACCGTGTTGATTTGCTTGTGTGTCTTCTCATCTCATCAGTAATCTAACCTAAGGGGATACACGTGCTGGCAACAACCCACTTTCGTTTTTTTTTTTTTTTTTTTTTCCTTTTGTATTACTTTCTAAGAGTTGTAAGGGAGGGGTACTCAGGGAGGCACAGCGACTGGCCAGTCAGATGATGCTCGTCCCTCTGCTACCGGCTGTCCCTTGGCCGGTGTTCCCCGGTAGGGGGTTCCCTGAAGGCTATCAAGCCACCGTGGGCTGAAAAGGCCACCCAGGGCAAGGTCCCACTTGCACGGATTAAGTGATTCTGGCCGTTTATCTTTTCTATCTATGGTCAATATCGCTGAATTTGTGTAAGTGGGACCTAGCCCCCTGTGCCAGATTAGACACATGATTGAATGTACCTGGGCTGGTTAGTCCGATGATAATACCTCAAGGCCATCACCCGATTAAAAAAAAAAAAAATTCCCAACCTATGGCGTGTCATCCGTGGGGTCTTCTGGTGGTGCATCTTTCCATGGTCTATGGGAAGATTCACTCTTGTTTTGCACATTTCGAGAGTAGTGGACCGCCCTCCCTCCACTGAATCTTCCCATAGAATCTTCCCATAGAACATGGAAAGATTTGGGGTATGTTTGGGGCATGGTGCGGTGGGGTTTGTGGTGTGGTTTGTGGTGGGTTTGGGGGTCGGTTTGGGGTATGTGGGGTTTGTGGTGGGGTTGGGGGTGGGTTAGGG